TAAATTTCTACTTTAATTACTTAATAAAAAATATAAATTATTAATATTTTTATATTATTAATATAAATAAAGTTATATTTAAGTTTTATATAAAATAATTTTAATTCTCTTAATAATAGCAGATAATTTATTTCCTTTTTTTATTAAAAGGGAAAAATAAAAAAAGGCCGAGAGGATTAAGTGTTTAAGTCTGCCGGTTGCCATATTCACTTGACCGTTTCTTTGTACTAGAGCCACGTGGTTACTGCTCAGTTTTTGCTCACATTGCAGGTTCAAGTTATCTAGGCAAACAAGTATTCCGGCTGTGAACTCGTTTGCAATATTATTATTGGTTAACCAAGTAGTTTCTCACCCCCCACTTTCATTGTTGATATCCCGACCTGTGGTAACATGAAGGAAGCGACCTTTGCCCTTATCCTTGCCCTTGACATTGGGGGAACTTTATGCACTTGACCGTGTTGCAAAAAAGTCCAAGTTGATTACCTTTTTTGCTCTGAAAGCCAGCAACTCTCAGCGCCCCTTACCCTTACCGCGTGAAAGGTCTTGTATTTCGAAAAGCTCTGCAGTTGCTGATTGATACTGACGGCGGATTATTCAGGTTTTGAGGTTTTGCCCCAACAACAACAACACCGCCATCATCAGCATGTTTTCAGATAAGCAGATGACCAACGCAGCCGACAACGACGTTATCGAGCAGCCCGGTAGTAGCCGCCAAGTACGTTACACGGCCGCTGACAGCTCGCAGTACGCTACGACGACCGATGATCTCGCAGGCGCAGGAAGGGACGTGGCTCTGCGCTCCGGGGCGGCACCAACCGATAAATGGTCGGTGCAATACTATTGTGTGTCACGGATGGTTTCTCGCGGGAAAATTCCGCCGAGGCATCGCCCGGCAACATCCATGCTTTTGTTTGGACCCCCGTCCGCGCGCAGGGCTCAGCCGCAGGAGCAAGTCCCGGGACCTCAAGAGGCTGCACGACGGCCGGGTCCGCGACCTCTTCAAGGGCTGGCTCCGCGACCTCTTCAAGGGCTGGCTCCGCGACCTCTTCAAGGGCTGGCTCCGCGACCTCTTCAAGGGCTGGCTCCGCGACCTCTTCAAGGGCTGGCTCCGCGACCTCTTCAAGGTCAAGGGCCGGCTCCGCAGCCGCCTCAGACGCAGAACGCTCAGAGGCCTCAGCAGAAGCGCGCCAGAGGACGCCGTTCACGCGGTGCCAATCGTGGCGGCGTGCAGAAATCTGGTCAGCAGGGGACATCGTCTTCCATGTCTGCTAGCGACCTCATGGCCAGAATCAACCGGGACCCGGAGCTCCTCAGACAGGTGGAGGAGCTCATGTTGCGGAAGGAACAGGAGACCTCTCGGGCAGCCGTAGAGAGGGCCAAAAGGGCAGCCATTTGCGGCAATTGCCTCAAGGTTGGGCACACAGTCCGGGACTGTGCTCAACCGGCCGATGACGGCTATGTCCACGGCTGTCCTATTTGTAACGGGTCTGATCATGAATCAGCCCAGGGTTGTAAAATGCATTGGCCGCACCGCCTCGAAAGGAGGCTGTATTGGGCAATCGAGCAGCGCGCTCGGCGTCCAACTCTGGCCGCCTTTCCCAACTGGCTGGATGTCTTCACCGAGGCCCGGAACGCGGGCAATGACATGGAGGCCTTGCCACAAAGCTTCCCGTGGACGCCACTCTTCAGCCGGACCCTCATCCGGGAATATCCGGACACAAAACATCCCTGGTCCAACTTTGACTACGTGGCCAACAACTCGTCCGCGTTGCCGGTGGATCCTCTTGTGACGGACCAGGCCGCCGTCATCGCAAACGACGCGGTGATTCGCAGTCTACTCTCGAGACCGGTCATTGGCAATACTGGTGGCTGGCCATGAGATCATGAGAACTAGGATGAGGACGAAGACGGCGAAATACTTGGAGCCATTCAAGTCATAATTGGACTTATACATGGGTGTAATACTGTGCTAAAAATTTAGTTTCTCGTTTCTTTTCCTTTTCTTTTTTTTTCGGGCTCTGTGGAGGTAGATGAGGGAGAGAGGGAGGGGGAAGCAATAATGCAATTCACTACTGGTGTCTTAATATAATCTGTCAATGTTCTCAAACGTCTGGTCTTAATAATGCTCGATCCTTGTGTGTCTATAAAAATTATGCGACGGCACATTTCACCGATGCGACAACAAAATGGGCCTTGTCGGAAGGGGAAAAAATTAAAGTTCATAATTGCATATCGATTATACTGGTCCGTGTTTTTTATTCTTTGCCGGAACTCGTATGGCAGACATCTAGATGTAATCACCATGTTGCATTGCAAAACCACTCAGATCCCATTGCCGCCGTCAAATCCCAGTGACAGCTACACGACTCGGCGCACCTTGCGGAACTCCAAGCCAATCCTGGGCTCCCCCATTACGTTTTTATAACATTGATCAAAGAATTGCAAGGCACAAGGTAGGAGCCACAACAAAAGTGTATATTATATGCAATAAAACGCCAGGCCCAAACTATGTACAAATTGGCCTTAATCGCCGAATCCCTCCCACGTCTCATGCCCGCTTTGGGAGACTCGAACCTTCATTCTGATGAGAGCAAGTGCCAATGCTCCAGAATGAGGCAAGGCATGAATACATTCAATGCCCGTGGGTGACTTCAATTTCAGGGCATCGAAGCCAATGTCCTCCCAGTCGACGCAGTCTGCTTCAATCCATCGAAGACGCATTCCGCGCGCATCAATGTAAAGAAACATGTCGACTGATTCGACAACAACAACCCCGGGCGAATTTTCATCCAAGGTTGTACGGGCATACAGCTGGACAGTGTCGCACACGTGCCCTTCTTGTCCTTGGAGGAGGAGGGCCTCGACCAAGGCGCCATCGTCGCCCTTGAGCCACGCTCTCTGTGTACCAACGAACCCAGAGAGGTCAGCTCCGACCGATGGCCACCGCTCCGATACGATTTGGAGGATCTGGCCCAACATGAGACAAATGGGCAGCTCACAGGCTGGCAGGCCACTGATGGCATCTGTAGCCAACTTGCAGAGTCCCTCCGACACACTGGCGGCTGCGGCGAGTGCAGAGACGACAGACTGGAGCAATGTGAGGGCCTCGCAGCCGGAGCCAAGAAGCTCATCGCGCCTTAGCGCGAAAAACAGCTTGATGAGTGCCTGGTCTCCGTGACAGGCATGAGGACAGGTCTTGTCCGTCTTGCCCATGTCGCCGCTCCAGACATCCAGCCAGAGCCAGCCCGCGTAGTCGGACTCTGCGGCAAGCTTCCGCGGCGAGTCATTGACGTACTGCAGAAGCGCGTCCCAGTCGTCTTCGGGCTGTCCCGGGCTGTCGGTGATGCTCTCCATGACATTGATGGAGGCATCGATAAGAGACGTCTGAATAGCCGCCCTTTCTTCCTGCTCTTGGAACCTTGTTTTGGAGGCAGCCGACTCCATGTCAAGAGAGGCCAGCTGGTCCCGAAGCCTCTTGTTTTCCTCAATGGCTTCGCGAGCTTGACGCTTCGCCGATTGAAGCTTCTCCGTGGCAGATTGGCGTTGTTCCGCCTGCAGGGAGCGCACGGCTTCGAGCTCCGTCGCCAGCTTTGCCTTGTCCTCTAGTAGCTGAGCAATCTCACCCCGCGCATCAGTAAGATCACCCATTGCACGAGTAAGATCGCCCTGGAGATCATTCACGATCCCGATTGGGAGCTGGCTTGGCCGATCAAGGTCCTGCAAAGCCTTCTCGAGCTTTTCAGACCACGCAGGTCCCCAATGCTGCAGCATCGCCACCGATATATTCGGGTTTCTCAGGATGTGGTCAAAGGCTCTTTGTCCCACATAGTCTTCTCGGTCTCTAGCCAAGGCGCCCAAGTCGTCTAGATTCTCATCCTGGCGCAGATAATCGTCCAGTACCTGGTTCCCCTCCTCGCAGACACGTATCAACTGCTGGAGGTCGGCAGCCATGGTCTTGTTGACCACTGACCTGTCCGAGTACTCCTTGAGCTTGGCAGTAGACTGGTCGCTGTACTCGAAGACATCGGCCAAGTCGCGCTTGGCCGTGGTGTCGAGATTTTTAAAGCTGTCAACGACTTGCTTCAACTGCCTCTCCACATCCTTAATGGCCGGCATGCGAATACCGAGACCTAGATTGTGAGTCATTGCGAATGTGTCGAGTGAGTACGTGATTGCTGTCGCTGGAAAACTCGAGATTGTACAAGGTGGAAAATTTTTTAGAGTGAATACTTTTCGAGTCCCAATATCTGCCTGCACTTTGACAACTGGCAGCTGATTTTCGTCGACGTCAATGGTGTGAGCTGACAGCTGCCAAAGTCTACACCATCTCAACCAGACTTTTCGACGAGTCTTCGTGTCTTGGCTGAAGCACTTATCAAGCCTCCCAACGAGGAATTGGATGGTCTCCGGAGTTGGCTCTAACTGAAAATCATAGTCTGAATACTGAAAATGCCAGGCTTGCCAGTGAGCTTCGCAGCGCGTGATGAAGAGGCTCGATTGACCAGTAATTGAGGCTGCAGATTGGGATGCGAGACAGTTGGAAGCTACCAGGCTCTGCTGTCACTTCTCTAAATGTCTTTGTTTATACAAACGTTTAATGTTCGGAGACAGCGCCATGGTGTCTGGTTACGATATTAAACTTCACATGGCAAAATGTCACCAAAATAAATAACTGCATTATTCGGATTAACGGCAATAACAAGATGTCAAGATGTCAATTAAATGTATACATCAAGTTACTCAACCCTTCCCCAGGCATAACCGAATCCCAATCCTCCGCTTTCACATGCCATCCTCGGCAGTTCATTCTCACACGCCCTCTTTTTTTTAAATAATGGCAGCCGAGTTTGTGAGAGAGGCGACGCAATATCCAGTGAGTGTAGCAAGTTCGTCGTCGCGGCCAATAGTGCCACTGCTCACGAGGTTGTCCAGAAAATAATAACAAGTGAATGTGCTATTATTCATGGCAGGGATAGCTACACGGCTTTGCGTACCTTGCGGAACTTCAAGCCGATCTCGGGCTCCCCCATTTCATTATCGAAATAGGTGCGCTTGACGAGAATGCAGTCCCCATGAATGGGACACTGGCCATTCTCCGGCTCGATTTCCTCGCCGTTGCAGATTCCTCGGAAACAGAACCAATCTTCCCTTGGTCCCGAGTCAACCAAGCGCATTGCCAAGTAGAGGTTGTCGGGTTGCAGAGTATCTAGCAACAATTGACACACCTCCTTTGGTTCTAGGTTTTCAGCCCCAACCACGTTGAGAATGGCTAGACTGGTCAAAAGCCTATCGATTGTACTGTCCCAGAATCGCAGACTCTGGTACTTGTGCAGCCATTGTGGTTTGCCCACCTCCGTAGTCGAAGGGGGCGTCGGGCCGCCGAGCTTGCCCAGATCACTGGAAATCTGGTCAACCACCTCCGAGGTGCCGTCAATCTGCTGCTTGATCGACGTGATAGTCTCGGAAAGCTCTCCGAGCGCCGTCTGCAAACTGTCTGGGGTTGCCGTTCCCCGCCAGTTTGTCAGCACCTCGAGGTGTTGAGCAAGACTCTCCGACATTGCAGAGACTGCCTGGCACACCTCTTGAGACGCAATCTCTCGGTCGGCGTCTTGGCTCAGGATTCTGGTGGCCAGTCTCGCAACTTCGGCGCCTTTTGGATAGTCTGAATCCATCAGCCATGCGCTCATGGCTTCGACCTTGTCGCCGAGAACCGCAATGTCCTCGTTCTGCACGAGCTTGTCTCGAGCAGAGTCGGCCTGTCGCACCGTGTCGGTCAACTCGACAAGATCGGCCTTTTCGGCCAGGTTTGTGTTTGCCAACTTGCTGTCGACACCATCAACCTTGGCGGACAGCTTTGCCAATTCCGCTGCCTGCGCCTGGCATTCCGAGTCCCGGGCTTCGTTGTTTTGCAACACGATGCTTTTCAGTTCCGCCACGTCGGACCGCTGGGAGAGGTCTGCGCGGATGGAACCGACCTTGGAGGCGAGATTCAGGAAATCAAACCTCCGCAGGGCTTGGTCCGAGACCGTCTGACGCAGCTGCCCCAGGGCTGCGTCGTGGCAGGCAATGGCCTGCGAGACCTGTGCAGTCAGGTCTGTAATGTCACGCCTCTGCACACGATCGTGGGCTGCGTCCAGCAGCCCGCACGACTCCAGATCCGACACTGTGGCCAGACCAGAGACGACGCTGCTCACAATGGCATGGACCTGCTCTTCCGACAGCAGCGTCGACCCCTGCGGAATCTTTGCGCAGAGCTCCGAGGCCAAGTCTCGGGCAAACCTAACAAAGACGTCGTAGGTAATAAAGCCGTCTTGGTTATCGGGTGAGCCCTTGAGCTCTCCCAGAGACCTCGTCACGCGCGATGCCGTCGGAAGGCGGCGAGCAACCCTCGACAGGCCGGCGACGTCGTCTTTTAGCTGGTCGACGGCCTGCTGTCCAGCAAGGCCACCCTCGACTTCAAGACGACGCCCGATGCCGTCAATGCCGTCCTTCAGCCGGTCAATAGCCTGCTGTCCAGCAAGGCCACCCTCGACATCGAGACGACGCCCGATGCCGTCCACGGAATCACCAACAGCCGAGAATTGGAGGCTGACAGCTTTGTCGTGATCCTCGACCGCTTCCTGGACCAGCCCGACTTTGGTCTCGACGGCGTCGACTGCGTCATTCAGGAGAGCCAGCGTCTCCCTTTGAGACAACAACAGCTCCCCCAGCCGGTCTTGTTGGCTCGTTGCGGCCGACTGAAGACCTGACGCCGCTCCGACCAGGCTCTGCAATACAGGGAGCCCCGAGACGGCAGACTCGACGTCACTCCTTGAGGGTAAACCTCCAAGAGCTGCCCGCTGCTCGTTGAGAGTCTCTTGCAGCTTGCAGACATCTCCATTTTTGGCCACCGCCTTGTCAAGACTCTCAAGTCTCGACTTTATGGCTGAGAGCTCGGTGTCCAGCAAGGTTTGGACCCTGTCGAGCTGGTCTTGACGACCAGCTACCAGCTCCCGCGATCGACGATTGACGTCGTCGCGCGTCTCCTGAAGCGAGGTTTCGCGGACAGTCAATGCTGCCCCTTGCTCAGCCAACCTCCTCTCCTTTTCGTTGAGGCGCTCTTCCTTCTCGTCGAGGCGCTTCTCGCGCTCAATCTGGCAAGGGGACGCCTCGGCATCTGCCCGGCGAACCTGTGTCGCGAGTGCAATGAGGCGGCTGTCAAACTGCTTCTCCATGCGCTCCGTCAGCCTTGCCTGGATCGCCTCGGTCTCTGCCTTGACTTGGTCCTGCAGACGAGTGTCAAACGTCCTTTGGAGCCTGTCAAGTTCCGAGCGAAGCCGGGCCTTTGCACTCTCAGAGACTTGCAGCTCAGTCTCTAGGGCAGCCACTTGTTGAGCTTTGATGCCATCTTCATGATTCTGGATCATGGTTTCGGCCCGCTCACACAATCTCTTTGTCCATTGCAGGATGGTCAGTCTGGAGTTTTCCTCGACTGCTTCAACGGACAGGCCCCCGAAAAATTCCTCCATGCCCCTAATCTCCCTCCGCAGGATTTCAATTTGTTCAGTAAACGCCATGTTGGCGTATCGTTGAATGCGTTTTTTTTAAAAAAAATTTAAAAAAAAACAGACGATAAAACTGCGGGTGGTGTGTATGTTGTGGAAAAAATTTCCAAATCTAGGCGCATTTCTTGGGGGGGCTGTTCGTGACTGATGGACTCTGGGAAGGAGCGCGGGAGCTCCTTCCATTTTCGCCAACACACATGTCCCCATTAGTTGCGCGTCTGGAATCAGTTCAATTTTCGTCAAAAAGAGCTTGGAATTCATTTCATGTGTAAATAATGTGTCTGGTAAGCCTGTTTCGGGCAGACGTAAAATCTTGTATTCCCTTCCAAACTACCAGTTCTTGATCTACTTGTTCTCGCAACTCTAGTGTCAATATCGCTTCCAGCACCCATTGATAGGAACAGTTCTATTGCGGTTTGGTCACGATGATCTTCCCAGTCATGGTTCAACACACACGTCTAGAAACATGCATGCCACCTGGTCAGGACAGCCCAGTCGACTCAGTGTTGACCAATGGAGACGCAACGTCTGGCTTCTTGGGGGCACTCGTGGCTGCCGGCTGTCCGGTTGTCAACCATACCGTTGTATGGTGAATGGGATGGAGTGGCATATCAGATGGTTGCCAACTTGACACCTGTCAAGCACTGTTCGACTGCTCTACTCCATCGCTGCCGAGAAATTTTCTTCCTTGGCTCGTCATCCATCTACAACACTTGAAACATCTCGAAACCAACAGCGCAGAAACAAGCTTCAAGACATCATCCAGACACCATGTCGAATGTATCCGTCGGTTCGGCCAATGCCGCGTTTGTGACGCCAGCAACGGGCGTTCTCGATGCCTACAACCGCCGAAACAACATGCATGATGCGAGCCGGGAGTTCTACAAGCTCCTTGACGATCTACAATCTCCAGCAGTGCGTGACCGCCTGAAGAGAGCCAAAATTGGTATTGCCCAAACCATCGAGGCATTCGAAAAGGGCTATGAGACAGATTACGTCGTCATACAGCTCGCAATGTCCATGTCTCCGCTCTCCTTTCGAGCTGTTCTCTCGGGCACAGTCGCTTGGCAAGCAGCCAAGACGACTAGTCATGACTGGTATTCTGCGGCCGGGCCAGGAGTTTACGCTGTCGGCATTGGAGTAAACGGGCGTGGAGGCAGTTTCTTGTCTGCACAGGAAATCCGCCGTCTGGCAGAAGGCATTGACCGGTATTCCGCTGGATACGATGCCTTGCAAACAGCCGCTGGCCAGCGAACCTCGAGTCAACGTCAAGACGTCAGATATCTGCGCAGCGTTGACAATGCCATTTCCAACTGTGTCGCTTCAGCAAAAGGGGGTCGAAGCATCGACAACCCTAGCGAGCAACAGCGCGCACTCTTGTTTTCAGAGAGACTCCGAGAACGCGCCCAGGCCATCGAATCCGTTGATCCGACGGGCCAGACGATCCAAATACAGAGCCCGCTCTACGTTGGATGCTCGGAAAAGCTGGAACAGCGGACTAGAGATTACGTTGCGCCGGTCAATCTCGGCAACATAAACAAGTTGCTGGCTCTGACCCTCAACGTTCTGAAGATGATGAATCTTCCGTCTACCCTCTACGTTCGCCCCGTCATTCGCATCTGGGAGCGACATCAGCTTCCATATGCAGAGCGGCTTGTTGCCACGCTTGCCGAGTCATTGGTGGCGCAAAACGGCTTCAACGCCAGGGAAGCGGGAGGACAGGCTTGCCCGTTCAACCCGACCGCCTTCCAAACCGCCAAATCCGTCGTCTTCTCCGTCAAGCCGTACTTGCAACGGCATATTGATGGGGTTGATACCGTGCTCAAAGACAGGCTGAAATTCATCCAAGAGGTGAAGAGGCTGAGCCAGTACCTGTCCGATCTACAGCAAGAGATTGATGGGACTAGGCAACAACTTCGCAGTTTCATGGCACTCAAGCCGATTGGGTGGACGGCAGGCATCGCAATGCTGCAGACCAAACTGCAAAAGCTCTGTCAGCAGACGGACATGCTGGTGGACTGGAAGGTTCGCATGCAAGCTGTCATCGGCCTTCAAAATGCCATGCTGCCGCCGCCGCCGTCCGCGGGCCATCAATCTGCTGACTCTCAGCTGCCTTTATCGGCAACAGAGGTCAGATGGGTGCCCGCGACTCCCGTTGCTGGCCAGGGGAGACGGCCGCTTCCGCTCTCGTCATCGTCAGTGGTGACTGTGATTCCGCAGACCTCTGACTCTTCATCATTACCCGCGATTGATGAAATGGATGTCGATTGAGCTTGATTGCAGGCAACTTACTTGGAGCGTCTACAATCATTCGACACGACCCTTGCTGTACGTCCGTTGACGATGCCAGGACTGTCGAGTCAGGGGATGATTGAAGGTGGTTGGTCGCGGTCTTCCTTTTTTTTTTTTTTTTTTTAGAAGCAGGGTATAAAACGGGTCTGGAAAAAAGTTCTGCAGTCATTAGTAGTATCAGACAATTTACTTGTGCCTCCCAAAATAACTTGTTTCCGCTGTGTGAACTGCTGTTTTCTCGACAAAAATGCTGCTAAACCTGGAGGCAGGAAAACCGTCATCCCGCAACACAAAGCCAAGAGAAAGTCGCTGACCACTCGATTAGCCGGGATACGTCGTGGAAATGGGCTCAAAGGGACAGACACCTACGCTGTGTTCTGCCTCGCACGGCACAACAGCCACGCCACGACGAGTCTCTGCCCGTCCAAAGACCATGGTAGTACTCACAAATCGTTTCTTTACTCTCAGGGACAAAGTCTACACACTACGCTAGCTGAGAAGTGGCCTTTACATGATTGTATCCCTCGCCATCAGTGTAGTTGTCAGGTTTGGCCCGAGTCGCGTGCAGAGGGACATGAGATTGTGTTACAACTCTCTTTACACTCGTGGACGGTATATATGGGACTGTACAGAGGAATTTACCATGAGGTCACAAGAGCTCGTCATGTAATAAACAGGTTGTATTGTGAGAGAACTAAAGAGTCAACCAAAAGGTAACGGCGCGATCCACGCCACTTCAAGTATGTCCAGTAAGGACTTGAACGGCTTCCTCATCACAAGCCTTGGCCAGCCTCTTCCCCAGGCGCCACGGCTAGTCCATTTTACAACCTTGCGCCGATTTATAGCCAGACCCGTTGTACATGGGATAGCAATGGATAAAGCTATCCCCGTAAATTCCGCCACGATTAGCGCCAAGCGAACCGCGCGTTAAAAGGGGCGAATTCGCCCATCCTCCTCATCGTCCTCCTCTTCAGGCGATGACGGAGCCTGCCCTTGAGGTTGTGCCTGTACACGGCCCTGAGCCTCTTGAGGTCCTGGAGCTTGTCCCTGGACGGTCGGCAGAGCGAGTTGTCTGGTTTGAATTCCAAACATGTTTCGCGGAGGCTGGAGCGGCGCCGGAAATAGCCCACGAGCCATCATGCGCGACGTACAATTGTCCAGCTGTCCCTGGATTGATCTCTGGACTTCTTCCTGGATCGATCTCTGGACTTCTCCCTGGATTGATCTCTGGACTTCTTCCTGGATCGATCTCTGGACTTCTCCCTGGATTGATCTCTGGACTTCTTCCTGGATCGATCTCTGGACTTCTCCCTGGATTGATCTCTGGACTTCTTCCTGGATCGATCTCTGGACTTCTCCCTGGATTGATCTCTGGACTTCTTCCTGGATCGATCTCTGGACTTCTCCCTGGATTGATCTCTGGACTTCTTCCTGGATCGATCTCTGGACTTCTCCCTGGATTGATCTCTGGACTTCTTCCTGGATCGATCTCTGGACTTCTCCCTGGATTGATCTCTGGACTTCTTCCTGGATCGATCTCTGGACTTCTCCCTGGATTGATCTCTGGACTTCTTCCTGGATCGATCTCTGGACTTCTCCCTGGATTGATCTCTGGACTTCTTCCTGGATCGATCTCTGGACTTCTCCCTGGATTGATCTCTGGACTTCTTCCTGGATCGATCTCTGGACTTCTCCCTGGATTGATCTCTGGACTTCTTCCTGGATTAATCTCTGGACTTCTCCCTGGATTAATCTCTGAACCTCTCCCTGGTCGGTCAAGGGCAGAGCGCGCGTAGGCGGAATTGTCCCATGAGAGACCATTTCCGAAAGGCGCCTCTCAAACTCCTCATTTGGCCTAACAGTCAACTGTGAAGCTCTTTCTCTCATTGCGCGTCGTAGGTTCTCGGTTATAGCTAAAAACTCCATGTCCTCGTTGTTACCTGCGCTGTTTGTTTGCTGGTTGGAAGACATGATTGTTTTTACGCTATTGGGAGATGTTGGGAGATGTTTGGGACGTTGTCGATATGTGACGGTTAGAGGGAAAAGTTTTTAAAAAAGGATGCGTTTGCGTTTATTGGGAGAGTAGCCGGTTTATGGAATCTAGTAGCTGGCAGCTGGCAGCCGGTGCCTGTCTAATAAGCTCATATTTCAGCGTTTGCTAGCATAAATCCTTGACTACACAAGGGCCAGGCTTGTTTTGTCCGGCAAGACATCGACGAAGTGAATTTGTTATTATAAGAGCATAAAAGTGCTTACGGCACCAGCGCTTTCACCGCTATAAAGATTATCTCGTCCATATTATAAGCGAGCATCCTCTGCCTCTGTATAAACAGAGGAAACAAAGACGCTGTCAACGAGTGCGTATCTGAGTTTCTGCTTTGTACTGGGTGCGTTTACAATACATGTTTATAATGTGCTCGCGATACCCGCCCGAGAATACACTTTATTTCGGGCCTTGCATTTCCGTCTACCAAAATGGCTGTTATTCTCCATGAATATATCCCTTCAAGTCGCATCTCCACGATGTAGTCCGGCTAATCGAGGGGTCCGCTAAATCTCCAAAGCTAATATCAAATACAAAAGGTAGCTGCAAGTTCGATTAAATACACTACAAGTACCAGCCTAGTATCAATTAACGTGCTGTCTCTTATACTTGGACTTGGCGATTATAATATATACTCTTTTTTACTTTTCTTGTACGTCTTGTCTTGATAAACCTACTATTATATCTTATATAAAAGTATAAATTTATATTATAACTGTGTAAAGTAATACAAGTGTACTAAAGTATTTTACTATTATAAGTATAAGCCTTAGCTTTATTTTTTAACTTATTACATTTTTCTT